TTTTTTTCTAATGCTAACACTGTATTTATTGATTATAATATTATATAAAACAGATGACACATTCAAAATTGGAAAATGTGAGGAAAGATTAGTAGGGGAATTATTTCCTAGAGATGTGGGCAGGAGGCTAGTATATAGGCTGTTGTTGTTAACTGATCTGAGACTTCACAACCCTTTGATCTTAGAGTCACCAGAATTCAGAGTCATGTGCCTGAGGAGGGTAGCCAGACCCCAGCTGGCTTGAGGGGAATTCAGCCAACTGGTTGCACACTAGCAAGGGAGTCAAGCAGTCAACAGCCCATCTTACTTCCCCTAACCTGTAGACATCTCCTGCTGGTGCCTTACACTGGCCCACAGAGGTGGTCCATATGAACTATCTGTCCCTGCCCTCCTCCAACAGGGAGGGTGCAGACAAGGGAAAATAGATCTGAAGTTATGAAGAGAAGATGGGCAGCACCTCTTCCATTCTGTCCTCTCTAGAGTTGTGATCCACCCCTAATAAATTTGAAAGGATTAAACCCAAACCTACCAGCTTTGCTATGGAAGCCCTTCCTGAGATCTCTGTGTGCTCTGAATGCTACACATTCCTTGTACTCCTAATCTCTACTCCTCAGACTGTCACTGTTTCCTCCTCACAGTTTTGTCCTTTCTGTTGGAACATACGCTGATCCCAACCTAGAGCGAAGGAAGCAGCAAAAAGGGCAGTACATCTTAAAAGGCCTCTATATTTTCTCTTCCAAACTCTTCGAGGAAGTAATCTACTCCTCTTGCTCCTATTTTATCACCTCCTCTCTCCTTTAGTTTGCCATACCAACATGTTTCCACTAAATCTTCAAACATCCACTACAATTATTTTAAATTCAGCCTACCTCTAAACAAATAGCATTATCTTTCCTCAATTTTCCATCCTTTTTCCCCTGTCACCAAAGGCACCATCATCTATAGGGTTCTGCCCTTTGTTATCTTTCTACATGGTATTTTGATTTTATCTTAACTCTGAACAGTTTTAGGTCTTCTTACTTTTCCTTTCTATTCAATCCCTAATTTATCTAATACCATTACTTTAAATACTTTTATTTATCATCTTGCACATTGGCAATGCCTCCAATTCCATTTTTACCCACCTAATAATTATTTCATCCCACTGATCCACTTTCAAGCCTGTTTTGCTTCTCTTGGTTATACTTTAGCTATCCTTCTTCTAATGTCATTGGAGAAAAAAATAATCTCAACATTTATTCTACCAAATAAATTGGTAGCTAAGTCCTTCCATATTTTCTGTTGTACTATCTCTACTATCAATTTACATCATCATCATCCTAGAAGATCTAGGCCTTGATATTTCTTGACTAGATGGTTGAGACTAACACATGTATTTCCCTCCCTCAAACTCTTCCCCAACCAAACCATCCTCACCATGGGCCAGAACCATCTTGTAAAATCACAGAACTTATAAGGTAATTCTCTTGAGGAGAAATTTTCAATGGAGCTTCCACTATATTCTGAATAACTCCAACACTAATGCATGTAAGCAATTTCCCAGAGAGTCTATAATCTTCTAGTTAATGTTTTATTTTTTTACTTGATGTTAAAGATTCCAAAGAATAAAACTTAATTTATTGGTTAAAATGAAAATATTATAAAAATTTTACAAAGTCACTGAGAGAAAAAAATAATTACTTGTGAAATGACTTAGCCTGATATTTTAGTTGTTTTCATGACTCACTTTCTGAATTTTTGTTAGATGTGGAGGAGAGAAGAAAGCACTGACGTTCACATGGCTTTATGACATTTTCCAGTTAAAATATTTTCACTCTTGTTGGTAATTAATTTTACCTTTTCTTTTTTTAAATTCCACATCTGTTTAAGTTCATGGCAAGATGCAACTTTCCGACTAAACTGGGGATTTTAACTGTAGAATTAGGTCTTACATGTTTTGTATTATGGATGATGTTGATTAAAAGGGTAATAGGAAATGACTATAATTTTGATATTAATTATATATAATAGAATTATCCTTATAAGAGCTTTATAGAAAAGAATCTAGGTACTTCATGCAGAATTAATTGTACTTCTAAAAAAATTTAAATTATTTCAAAATGAAACATGAGAGTACAACAACATTAAAATGTAGTGGGGGAATTATATGAAAAGACATATATTAAGGGGAAACAATCATGTTAAGGGGAAAGGACTGAGCATTGCACCCAGGGCAGCCTAGGAAGTTGTCAGGAACAGACACAACAGTCTCTGGAAGGAAATCCAGGAGACTAGCCACCACAGAGTCAGGCAGCCAAGGAGAAGCAAACTCATCTTTTGTAGATGCTGGCAGTGAGAACTTCACCTCCCTGGGAAGGGCCCTGGTAGATGAAAGTGCTATTTCTATGGATGAGTTTACCTGTCCCCATAATCTGAGGTATACAAATTTATTGGCTCCTTTCATTCTCCAAGCACACTCAGCCTGTCGACTGAAAGACATATAAACTGGCTGCAGCAGGACTAGGCTGGGGTGTGATAAGGGCTTGACTTGGAGTCCCCTGCATTGCTGTTCACAGCAATGTCTCAGAAGCCCTCCAAGAGCCCCTCTGCTCCTCTGACAGACATCACCCTGAAGCCAGCCATGCAAACTGTGCCAAAGCCAGCCATGCAAACTGTGCTCAGCTGAACTGAGCACAGCAATGGCCAGCACCATGTCCACCACCAAGATCATCATGTCAGCATTGGCGGCCCACAAACTCATCAACTTGCTACACTCCTTCTGCTTCACCCAGTGGATCAAGAGCCAAGTATGCTGCCTATAGGAGCAGTAGAGAATGATGAGCAGAAGACCCTGTCACAGAGAGTCAGCCAATCTAACAGCCAGGTGCACAAGCTTCAGGAGAAGCTGGAGCTGCTTAAGTGAGTACCTACTGAGCAGCCTGCTGCCCCTAGCTGTGGACCCCCCAAGATGAACCCAGTGATGGAGCCACTGTCCTGATGGTCAGTATCTGGATGCCAGATCCATCCACTGGGACCTACCTGATGCTACAACTCTTCTAGTAACTAGAAGAGGTACACATCTCCAATGTGGGCCAGTCCATGTAGAACTTCTGATTTGATGCCTTCCACCCTGACATATAAACCATGCATAGGGAGTGTACCTTCATCCACCCGAAGCCTGACACCAACAAGAAGGCCTTTAGTACCCAGACCTCAGGTACTATAGAGGTGGACGGTGAAGTGAACCAGTAGGAGCTGTGCTTGGCATCCCACTCCATCACCAGGCTGCCTTTGCCAAGGAGCTCCATGTGGGTCAGATAACGTGAAAATTCAGGTTGAAGGCAAACTTGAACAGTCAGTCTCCATGGCAACTACTACCCAACCCATGACTCAGCATCTTCACATTACCTATTAGAAGGTGACATCCTGATGCAGAGTAGAACTTTGTCCTGGGTGGGGCCTGGTCACCTGTGTGTCATGAAACCATCTCAGTAGATGCCCCACAACAGGTGTGACCACAGTTCTCCACAGGTTCAAGAGTGTTGCACCACTTGTACCTGTAATAATATAGAAAAAACAAATAAAAGACTTTTCTTTTTTATAAAAAGAAGGGAGTCCATACAGATAAATGATTTAAATGATTTTTATTATTAGAATGAAATTTAGAATATATAAAACTAATTACTTCCATGCTTATTACTACAAATATTATTTTAAGTTTCTAGCTATGATTTAATACTGCTATACAGGTCTTGATGCAAGAATTTGGCTAACAGCCATGTTCATTAGTATTTCTGAATAATGAAATATTCAGAAAAATTAAACCTTTTCACTTTCTCATAATTGTTCTTAGAATTATTTTATGAATCAAAAATATATACTAATGCAATACAGAATCATGACATTAAATTATATTTTATAGCAATTGTAAGATCAGAATAATACTGACATACTTTGAACTAGTAGCAATGTCATCAAGACAATGCAAATCATCTTCAAAAATAGTCAGTTTAAAAAAAAAACAAAAATAGTCTGTTTGATGTCAAAATAATATAAAAATGAAGCAATTATTAATCTGAAATAGTCACTCAGACAAGCATATCTAAAAGTATCTAGTAAGGATTAAAATATCTGATGGAATAATTGCTAGGAAATATATTTTTACCTTCCTATTATTTTGTTATCTGATCAGTCATCCTACTGCTAGAGTATGCTCCATTAGCTAATTGGACTAGTTGAAATAAAAGACTAACTATGATCTTGATTAAAAACATTCAAGAATTTTTTTAATTTAGAAAAATATATGAAGTTAAAAATTTAGCCATGTTCAGCCAGCTGAAAATAACTGAATGTCAACTGGCCAAAACCTATTGCCAAGTATACATTTTTGCAGTTTTTGAAGTGTTAATAGTAGGTTTTAGCGTGTTATTAACTTCCAAGCTCAACAATAAGCACTCATCAGTATTCTCCTAACCTTTTCAGAATGAATTGTGCAGGATTTACTGTGAACTTCAGTGTTAACATGACCATCTAGTAACAGTGGTCAAATTCAATAAGATGGCCTCTCCCATATAAAAATATATCAATGATAATAGTGCTTTAAATTTTTAGAACATTTTTAGAACCTTCATTTTTTTTCTAATAAATGAATTTGTGAAATAGGGAGATCAGATACTTTTCTCCCAACTAACTAAAGGAAGAAAATAATTTATAAAAAGTTAACTGACTTACTAAAATGCATACAGATATGTAGAACAACAACAACAACAACAACAAAAAAAAAACCCAGAAAACTAGGCTCCTTGACATCCTATGTTTTTGCAATGAGCAACAAAACGTGATGTGCAGCAAGTACATTCTCTCAAAAAACATTTTATCATCATTGTTATCTCCATCAACAGCTCCACTGATAGGCTCAAGACAACCCATATTTCTATTTCTGTTACCATGGGGATTTTCTAATTAATATTAGCTAGCTAATCTTTCCATTCTTTCTTTTTTTATTCTTTTTTTTAACAGAAACCACTCAGACTGTCTCCTCTTCCTCTTACTCCTCCAAAGGAGGAAAAGTACAATCATCAATGTCAATAGGCATTTGCAGAAGCAACATCTAAAGACAGCTTCATGCTCAGGAGAGAACACTGAGCCTCCTCCTTGTGATCCTTTCTTTCAAAAAGATATCTTTCAACGATATCTGAACAGCATGGCCCTGACTTTCCTCTGTAACAGTCCATCCACAGCATTTCAGTGATATCATTTTTCCCATAAGAGACTCTACCCAGACCTTCTGTTCCTCTGGAATGATGGTCACAGCAACTCTAATATGTTCACCTAAAATGTAGGAAATCCTAGATTGCCCAGCAAATGGTTGTATTAGTTCACATCTCACATAAGTAAGATGATTGCTGAAAATACTGATTAGAAATTTAGGGTCAAATAATCTCTCCTTGCCTCCCTATTTTATCTGTTAATAAATATGTCTTAAAGAACACCACTATGTCAAAGGTTAAAAAATACAGGCTGTTCATAAGCTCAATCAAAAAGGACAGTGATACAGGCCTACCCCAAGAAACAGGAAAAAGTTCAAATAAACAATCTGATCTTACCCCTAAGGAACTACAAAAAGAAGAACAAACAAAATTCAAGATGAGTAGGAGAAAGGAAATAAAAAAGATTAGAGCAGAAATAAATGACGTGGATATTTAAAACATAGAAGAAAACCAATGAAATCAAGAGTTAGTTCTCTGAAAAGATAAAACTGATAAACCTTAGCCAGAATCATCAAGCAAAAAAGAGAAAGAGCTCAAATAAATAAAATAAGAAGTGAAAGAGAAGTAACAACTGACACCACAGAAATATAAAGAATTATAAGAGAATACTATAAAAAATTATGCCAACAAATTAGACAATCTTAGAAGAAATAGATAAATTCCTAGAAACACATAATCTTCCAAAACTAAACCAGGAAGAAATAGAAAATCTGAACAGGTTATTAGTGATGAAATTAAACCAGGACCAGATAGATTTACAAGTGAATTCTCTCAAACATTTAAAGACAAATTAATACTTATTCTACTCTTCCAAAAAACAGAAGAGAAAGGAAAGCTGCCAAATGTACTCTCCAGGTCCAGCATTACCCTGATACCAAAACCAGACAAAGACACCATAAAAAAATAAAACTACTTACCAATATCCCTGATCAATATATTTGCAAAAGTACTCAACAAAAAATTAGCAACCCACATTCAACAATACATTAAAAGGATCATTCATCATGATTAAAAGGGATTTATTCCAGGGGCCAATTATGGTTCAATATTTGCAAATCAATCAATGTGATAAATGATAGCAACAAAATAAAAGATAAAATTCATGTGATCCCCTCAATAGATACAGAAAAAGCATTTGAGAAGATTCAACACCCATTCATGATAAAAACTCTCACCAAAGTAGGTTTAAAGGGAACATACTTCAAATAATAAAGACCACATATGAAACATCCTCCGCTGATGTCATACTCAATGTTGAAAAACAGAACTTTCCCTCTAAGATCAAGAACAAGGCAATAATAATCATTCCTGCCATTATTATTTAACATAGTACTTGAAGACTAGTCACAGCAATGAAGCAAGAATAAGAAATAAAAGATATCCATATTGGTAAGGAAAAGTTAAACTGTCACTATTTACAAATGACATGATACTATGCATAAAATCCTTGAAGACTCCACCAAAAAACTATTAAGAGTAATAAATGAATTCAGTTAAGTTGCAAGATATAAAATTAATACCCATAAATTGGTAGCATTTCTATACATTAATAACAAAGTAGCAGAAGGAGAAATTAAGAAACCAATTCCACTTGCTTTGCATTAAAAAGAATAAAATACTCTGAACAAACTTACCCAAGGATATGAAAGAGTTGTACTCTGAAAACTATAAAACACTGATGAAAGAAACTGAAGATAACACAAACAAATGAGAAGATATTCCATTCTCATGGACTGGAAGAAATGATATTGTTAAAATGTCCGTATTACTCAAAGCACTCTACAGATTTAATGCAATCCCTTTCAAAATACCAATAGTATTTTTCATAGAACTGAAACAAATTCTACAATGGGACCACAGAAGACTCTGAATAGCCAAAGCAATATTGGGAAAGAGGAACAAAGGCAGGTATCACAACCCCAGATTTTAAAATATACTACAAAGCAGTACGATACTAGCACACACACACACACACACACACACACACATACACACACGCATGCAATCAGTAAAACAGAAAAGAGAGTGCAAAAAACTCACACTTACATGGCCAATTAATCTATGATAAAGGTGGCAATAATATACAATGGGGAAAAGACAATGTCATCAACACATGGTGCTGGGAAAATTGAACAGCTATGTGCAAAAGAATTAAACTGCCCACTTTCGTATACCACACATAAAAATAAACTCAAAATGGATTAAAGGCCTAAATGTGAGACCTGAAACAATAAAAGTCATAGAAAAGAACACAGGTGGTAATTTCTTTGACATCAGCCATTGAAACATTTTTAAAATATGTCTCCCAGGCAAGGGAAATAGAAACAAAAACAAAAACAAAAACTATTGAGACTACAGCACAATAAAAAACTTTTTGCACAGTGAAAGAAACCATCAACAAAACAAAAGGCAATGTACTGAATGGGATAATTTGCAAATAATATATCTGACAAGAAGTTAATGTCCAAAATATATAAAGAATTTATGACTTAACAACAAAAAAATAAACAATATGGTTTTAAAAATGGTCAGAGGAGCTCAACAGATGTTTTTTCAAAGACCATATAAATGGTCAACAGACACGTGAAAAGATGCTCAACATCATTAATTATCAGGAAAATGCAAATCAAAACCACAACCACTGCTCATATTTGCTAGATGGGTAAAATAAAAAAGATAAATAACAAAGCTGGCAAGAATGTGGAGAAAAAAGAACCTTTATACATTGTTGGTGGGAATGTCAATTGATAATAGCTATTGTGAAAAATGCTATGGAAGTTCCTTTAAAAAATTAAAAATAAAAACACCGTATGATTCAATAATTCAACTATTGGATATTTGCTGAAAGAAAACAGGAACACTAATTTGAAAATATATAAGATATATTCACTCCTATGTTTATTGCAGAATTATTTACAATAGCCAAGATATGGAGTCAACCTAAGTGTATACTGATAAATAGATAAGGAAGATGTGATACACACACACACACACACACACACACACACACAATGGAATATTATTCAACCATAAAAAGGACAAGATTGTGCCACTTGAGACAACATGGATGAACCTAGAGGGTATTATGCTATATGAAATAATTCAGACTGAGAAAGACAAATACCATATGACTTCAATCATATATGGGATCTAAAAAAACAAAACAAATGAATGAAGAAACAAACAAAAAACAGGGTCAAGCCTGTAAATACAGAGAATACACTGGTGGCTATCAGAGGAGATGGAAGTAGGCGGTTGGTCAAAATGTGTGAACGGCAGTGGGAGGTACAGGCTGCCAGTTGTGGAATAAACAAATCATGGGAATAAAAGGCACAGCATGGGAATATAGTCAATGATACGGTAATAGTGTTGTATGGTGACAGTAGGTACACTTGTGGCAAGCAAAAAAAAATTAAATAAAAAAATAAAAGATATAGAATAATTTCATGGAATTCATCATTAGGAAGACTACTCAGGATTCAGTTAAGTAGTAAAACATCAATCGGTCGCTCCCTTTGTCTTTCTGTATCCTCCCGGAACCTCACTCTTTTGTTCTTTTGCTCTTTATCTAAGTGCATCTACTTCACTGTTTTTCTGAAGATCCACTTCTCCACTCATCTAATTGCACATGGTCAATTATGACTTTCATAAAAGTAACATTAATTCTTGGTCAGTAATGATACCTGGCTTAGACTTTCCTGTTAAGTCACCTAGTTTTCAGGTCTGAGTTTTACTGACTGAAGAAAAATCTGTTGAATATAACTTGTGTTGAGCCAGTTGCCTCACAGTCCCACTCCCTTCAGCTATATTTGGAGTTGCATGACCATGTGATACATCAGGCTTCCTATTCTGGGTTTAGGAAGAGCTGGTTGTCTCTTACGAGAATTTACCCAGTATTTCTAGAATGTTAATCTTTGAAATTAGCAAAGATGTTTTATATTTTTTAAGATTTTATTTATTTATTCATGAGAGACACAGAGAGAGAGAGAGGGAGAGAGAGAGGCACAGACACAGGCAGAGGGAGGAGCAGGCTCCATGCTGGGAGCCTGATATGGGACTCAATCCCGGATTTTGGAATTAAACCCTGGGCCTAAGGCAGATGTTCAACCGCTGAGCCACCCAGGCATCCCACCAAAGATGTTTGAAAGGGCTCGAATACTGTTAATCAGGGTCTAGAGAAACAATGATTCTAATAAAATATTTTTCCAGCTGTAAATCGATATATTTTCTTGAAGAAAAAAATGCATCATTATCATTAAAAATAGTCATATATATTGATTCATTCACTTCTAATAATTTGTATTAAGGAAAAAGGCAGAGGTGAGGAGCAGCATTACTGTAGCAATGCTACTACTGTAAATATTGCATGATATTTATAGTAATTAAAAGCTAGAAGGGACGCTTGGGTAGCTCAGTAGTTGAGCATCTGCCTTTGGCTTAGGGTGTGATCTTGGAGTCCCAGGATCAAGTGCTGCATCCAGCAACCTGCATGGAGCCTGCTTTTCTTTCTGCCTCTGTCTCTGTCTCTCTCTCTGTATCTCTCATGAATAAATAAAGTCATTAAAAAAAATAAAAGCTAGAAAGAACCTAAAAATGTAAGGACAGAGAAATTGTTAAAAAATATTTCAATATGTGGAATACTATGCAGATTAAAATGATAATATAAAGGAATATTTAATGATAGATGAAATGCTAAAATATATTTAAAGATAGAGGACAAATTTGTACATATCTGGAGTAAATAAATGAATAAATGTATCCTCCGAGGAATGCCAGACACATACTAAGTAAAACACATACTAAGCACCTAATAAGTACTAGAGCTTATCCTGGTTGGTTTGTGAATGTATGTGAACACATAGATGAGCATGCATAGAAATATACATAGAGTTTGGAAAATTTTTTATGCCTCTCAAATCACCAATCCCTTCAATTAGTGAATGGAATAAATCCTTAATTGCGA